TATTTGATTTAAAACCAGGAACAATGGGCACAAAGTGAAACACAGGAGGTTCTCTCTGAACATCAGGAAACACATTTTCAGTGTGAGAGTTACCAAGCACTGGCACAGGTTGCCTGGGGAGATTTTGGAGTGTTCATCCTTGGAAATATTAAAAAACTTTTGGACACAGCTCTGAGCAATGGGCTCAGGATGGTCCTGCTTGAACATGGTGAGTTGGACAAGATGACCTTTAGAAGTCACTTCCAGCCTCAACATTTTTGTGTTTCTTTGATTCTGTAAACACTGTTCCAGTTTACACTCAATATTTTTGATATTTTTTGTTTTCTTTACAAGTACAGGAGCTGGAAAGGGGTTTTTTTGGGTATGGAGGAAAGTTGAGACCAATAAGTACAATTCTCTGGCAAAATACCTGGCAAGAGCAGGATTCTTGTGTCTGATGCACAAGGCCACAGGGGGCTCCAAACAATGCTTTGATGGCTTTGCTAAATTATAGATCTCTGCTCTCCAGGACAAAATGAAACAGTGCTTTCACAATTAAGTGTATCTGTATTGTATCCAGATCTCTGGCAAATGAAATCACTCTCGCTGCTCTGGCAGCTTCTCTCTGTTCATTCATATTCCCTGTTTCCCTTTGGTTGTGCATCTTCATTTCTACAACTACTGGAGAAAAATCATGGGAGAGGAGGGCAGAAATTGTGTGTGCATCAGCAGGGGACTTAAAAACTGCTGGTGGTATTCAAGAGTTCACCAAAGATGACAATTTTCAACAATCTGTATAGCTTCCTACTTTCACAGAAGAGCAGTTGGAGGTGAACAAAAGTGAATTTGATGGATAATTGCAATAAAGTTGCATTTACTTGCCAAAGATGGAAGTTACCAAATGTGGCAGAGTTTAGTGTGATCCCAAAGACACACAAGATCTGTCACTTCGTTGGTGTGGCTTTCCCTCCGTCTGCAACAATTTGCACCGCAGAAGCAGCTTGCTCAAATTCTTTCTGAATTCTTTTGCTTTTAAAGCTGGCAGGAAAGTGTTTAGGTTGTTCTTTTTTTTTTTTCTTTTTTTTTTTTTTTTTTTTTTAAATACATATATCAGAGAACAGAATAGAAATGAAGACCCAGCTGGCATAGTGTGAATTGCCAATCAGGCATGGCTGTATCACTCACTTTAAACTAGCTAGAGATGCTTCCAGACAGACAGAACTGCTCAGATGTGGCTTTTCTAGATAAAAAATGGCATGTCATTCATCCCAGGAGTCAAAAAATAACAACAACAAAAAGCCAAAACCAAACCCCATAAGGTTTACTTACAATCTCTCTGGACTTGTTAAAAAGATTTCACACTAAGGGCAAATCATGCCTGACAAATTTGGTGTCCTTCCACAATGGAGCTACAGCATTGGTGGATAAGGGAATAGCAACTGACACTGTCCTGCACAACATCCTTGTCACTACATTGGAGAGATATATTTTGATGGATGGACCACTCAGTGGATAAGAAATTGGCTAGGTTGTCACATTCAAAGGGTTGCCGGCGATGGCTCTATGTCCAATTGGAGTCCAGTGACGAGTGATGCTTTCAGGGGTTGGTATTGGGACTGGTGCTGTTTAATATCTTTGTTGGTGACAAGGACAGTGGGATTGAGAGCACCCTCAGCAAGTCTGCAATGTCACCAAGCTGTGTGGTGTGACTGACACACTGCGGGGAAGGGATGCCATCCAGAGGGACCTGGACAGGCTTGAGAGATGGACCTGTGTGAACCTCATGAAGCTCAGTGAGGCAAAGCACCTGGATCGGGGCAATACCAAGCACAAAACCAGGCAGAGAATGGATTGAGAACAGCCCTGGGGAGAAGGATTTGGGGGTGTTGGTTGATGAGAAGCTCAACCTGAGCCAGCACTGCACTGCACTGCACTTGCAGTCCAGAAAGCCAAACATGTTCTGGGCTGCATCAAAATCAGCATGGCCAGCAGATCAAGAGAGGTGATGCTCCCTCTCTACTCCGTTACTGTGAGAACCCACTGGAATACTGTGGCCAGCTCATGGCCTCCAAGACAAGGGCATGGACTTGTTGGAGCAAGCACAGAAAAGAGACACAGAGATGGTCAGAGGGCTGCAGCACCTCTTCTGTGATGACAGGCTGAGAGAGTCAGAGTTGTTCAGCCTGAAGAAGAGAAGGCTCCAGGAAGACCTTGGAGCAGCCTTCTGAAGGGGGCCCACAAGAAAGCTGGAGATGTCTTGTTACAAGGGTTAATATGGACAGGACAAGGGGCAGCAACTTTAAACTGCAAGAGCATGTGGATGTCCCATCCCTGGAAATGTTTAAGGCCAAGCTGCATGGGGCTTTGAGCCACCAGGTCTAGTGGAAGGTGTCCCTGCCCATGGCAGGAGGGTTGGAACTAGATGATAGTTATGGTTCCTTCCATCCCAAACCATTCTATGAGCCCAGCATATAGTTTGCCTGTCTAAGCTGAAAGACAAGGAGCTGAAGCAGAGTTGTAAATTAGTTGGGAACTCCCTACAGCAGACTACCTGCTGCCCTGGAAGAGGGATGTTTGACCTGGGAGAAGTACTGTTACTGGTAAAATTTGTTCTGAGGCCTATAGTTTGTATCTGTGTATTTTTTTATTGTTGTAGATGTGGAAGTGGACACAAAGAACTGTGCAAGACTGTTAATAGAAAGGAGGTTCAGAATATACCGAAAACATAATCTTGAGGACTGGAATAAAAGAGATGGGATTAAATGCAACAACGGAAAAGATGTGGTCATGCACTTAGACATTTATAAAAATAATAATAATAATAATAATAATTATTATTATTATTGTTATTGTTATTGTTATTATTTTTTAGTGTAAATTACAAATACAAGGAGTAGCCTGTATTTGTCACTCACAGCATGGCCTGAAACATCAGTGAGATTTGGTCATATAGAAAGCAGATTGGCTGTATTAGAAAAGACAATTTTGGAAGAAATCAGGAGAGATTACCTCTACGGCAGAGACTGGAAATAGTTTGTGAAAAGCTGTTACAACCTGCAGCTATGCTGAAGAAAGCTGAATCCAAACTTATCTAGTGCAGTAAAATCTGAGTTACAGAGGCTCTGTCTTACAGGAGGAGACTAATAAAATGTACTGATAGGTTAGACCAGCAAAGAGTGGCTATAACTACTGCCTATAAATGTATTACAGATTTAAATGCAAGGGAAAGAGAAATGACTAACTGGAACGCTGGATGTCACAAGAACAAATGGGTATGAACTGGTCTTGAATGTGTTTGAGATGAGGGCTGTTCTGGTCCAGCCCTTCAGCAAGAAGTACAGGAAAATAGCATATTTAGTGTACAATGGGTCTAGATGTGTTTTAAGGCAGGAGGTATACAGAGCATTTGCTGCTACAACAGCAAAATGGTACCTTCAAAACATCTCTGCCAGTCCCATGACCCAAAGATCCCAAAGGTTCATCTGTTTAGACAGCAGCAAGCAAACCTGCTAGAGAGAGCTTTGAACATCCTGGCCTGTGTACCTCAGCAGCCCAGTTTCATCAGCACCAGTTCCATTCCAGTTAATGTGCCCCACCTTACTGAGGAGCAGAGCTCTTCTCACATCTAGCATCACTAAGTAATTACAGAAGAACATTTACTTGGCAGAGGCAGCCAGTGCTGAATCCCCTGTGCCAAAAGGAAATTGCTCTCTTAGTAATACAGGACTTAGTCTTCAATGCTGTATTTAAACAGACAACAATCTAACTTTGGGTGTCTGACCACAGTGCCTCCCAAAGCTTACTCCTGGATTTATGGCCTTGCTCTTGATGCTCTGGTTAACAAACTGCTCAAAGGTCTCCTCACACAAGAGCTATACCTTAGTGCAAGCCAGATCTCCTCACACAAGCTCTACACTTTACAGCCTGTCAGAGGTGTGTAGCAGCAGAGAGATCAAGGAAAAAGGCAGTTTTTATTCCTGAAAAACAAATGGTTTGCAGAGTGGATTAAAAAAACTTGCACGAAACGTGCCATCTGAGACAGGAAAAGATTGTGTTGAATGTAAAGCATTGTCTTGTGTTTTCACTACATGAAAACAGTCACTGTGCTGTCAATTTACACAAAGCTTTCAGCCACACAGATACACGCTGAGCATCTGTACTCAAGATATGTGCCTGGTACCTTCTACCTGTGCAGTGCATCTGACCTCTGAAGCGTCTCAGTGTAAGGGACTGGAAAACCCGTAGATAGTAAAAGCACTCTCTTACAAAACTCACTGCCTTCACCGTAAATATATTAATTGACTTGGACTGGCGCAAACGCTCCCGCTATACATTCTGGGCTTCCATTCAGCAAAAATTAAACACAGCCCTTACAATAAATAGAAGAGATGATCTCTTTGCTTTCTTTCCCAACCGCACTCACGCCGGCTTATTAGAGAATAATAAAAAAATCACCCCGGACAGTGACAAACGCTGTGCCAGCGGTCCTCCTTCCTCGACGCCCCTGGGGACCCTCTCTGTCCCATTCACCCATCGGTGCTATCCCCGCACGCCTGTCGCCTGTGTCCGCTACCAGCCCGGCCCGCCCCGGGACCCCGCACCGCTCCGTGCGGGGGCGGCCCCGCCGTGAGGGCGGGCGCTGCCGCCGCCGCTCGCCCTGCCCGCCGAGCGAGGAGAAGCCCCTCACCTCCCCTCCGGTCCCGGGGGAGGGGGCTGCTATCACGTGTGCTTCCTCCCCCATCTCTCTCTCCCTCTCGCTCTCTCTCCCTCCTCCTCCTCCCCCTCCGCGGCGGCGGCGGCGGCGGCGGCAGCAGCCTCTCGGCTCCGCTCCCTTTGTTGCAGGCGGAGCGGCGGCGCTGCCGGGCGCCGCGCACAAAGGAGCGCGGCCGGGGCGAGGCGGCTCCGTTGTGCGGACGGGCGCGGACGGAGCGCGGCCCCGGCGGGGACAGCCCTGCCCGCGCCCGGCGGCGGCGGCGGCGGCAGCAGCGGGTCCGTGCGGCCGCTGCGGCGGGGATGCTGAAGGTGCGCTCCGGCGCGGCGGAGAAAGGAGGGTCCCGCCCGGGCGGCGCCGCGGGCTCCGGTTGATGCTGCGGGCCTGCCGCCGCCATCCCGCTGCCCCCGGCGCTGCTCCTCGGCCGCCGCTCGCCATGCTGGGAGAGAGTCCGGCCGCCGCCCGGCCGCTCCTGCGGGCGGGACCCCCGCTGGCGCTCTGCTACACCTCGGCCCTCCTGGTGCTCGCCCTCTCCGCGCTGCCCGCCGGCCGCGCCTCTCATCCCTTGCCCGGCTCCGAGTGCCAGGGCGGCGGCAAGGGGAAAGGCATCAACTGCTCAGGTAATGCCCCGCCGGCTCCCGCCCCGCGCCCACCCCTGCGGGCAGCCCACGCGTGCACGTGGAGGGAGGGCTGAGCGCGGCCCCCCGCTCCGCCCGGCCCGGCCCGCCCTGGCGCTGCGGGCGGCGGAAAACAAAGGAGCGGCGCCCGCCCCTGCCCCGGCTGCGGCGAGCCGGCTCCCCGGCCGGCGGGGACATGTCCCCCTCCGGGGCACGGGGAGCCCCCTGTCCGAGGTGTCCCCGCCGAAGGGAAGGGCTTTGCCGCCGCCTCTCGGCTTTTGTTGCTGCCCGCTGCCCCCCGCCGCGGTGCCGGCAGGTGCGCGCCGGGCGCCCCGGGGCTGCCCGCATCCCGCCCCCTCCTCCCCTCCCGCTGCCCCGTGCCCGTCCTGCCGCTAGCAGGGGGTGCGAGCCGGCTGGCAGCCGTGAGCGCACCCGTGATGGCTCACACGGGCTGTTTCTTGGGTCTCACTCTTGCTGTGAGCAGCCCAGCCACGGGGTAGCCTCTCCGCCCGTCCGTCTGCCGGCTGTCGTAGAGATTCACTCTGGGTGAGGTGTAGGCAGCAAAATACCCCGCGATGTGCTCAGAATAAGCTTTCTTGTTTTTTTCCTGCTTTGGTTGCATGACATACATAATATACATAATTATGTGCTGGTATTGTAAGGTTGCAATGTGGTTTGGCATGACAGCAGCACGTTTTCTTAGATCTTGAGGGATATGATGGTTTTGAAGTAGAACAAAGTAAATACATGCAATATAAAGTTTAGAGGTTTTAAGAAAGATTTTTTTTTGTCTTCTAAAACTACTATTTATAAAGGGGGATTTTTTTTTTCTCTGAAAAATGGCTGTGGATGCCTCCTCCTGCCTTTTAAAATGATAGGTTTATTCCACTGCACGAATCACCAGCGAGAGCTGTACAAAGTGCCTTCTCCAAGGTGATGAAGGTTTCTCGCCCTGCGCACAGAGCCCCCCGCTCCCATTGTCTTCAGCAGGACTGGAGGACAATGTACACGTTGGAAGGAACTCTTGGTACCTTCCAGGGTAAGGTCCCCAAACTGTACCAGAGATTTCAAGAAACGAGTGAACGGAAGAGTGATCTTCCTGCCAATTACATTTTACAATACGGATAATGCTGCTAAAGCAGGCTATCAAATTCGCAGACCAGCAAACTGTGGCAAAATGGTCTTGCAATATAATAAATCTGCTACACATTCTTGAAATGCCCCTCTTCATTTTACCCAGTTTAGATATACACTGTGTTACTGTGTGGTACCACAGTACTACTGTTTTGTTGCTGCTGCCTGACTTTTCATTCTATTTGTACGAATATGATGGTTATTTTTAAAGAGAGGTTAATAGGTTAATGTGTCACTGGCGTTAGCGGCTTACCCATCAGAGACATATGGGTCATTAGACCATGGCATGAGCATAAATCAGTGAGATTAAATATGGAAGGCTGCTGAAATGTATGAGGAAGTTTCTAAGATGATGTGGAACACAGGGATGTCATTATTTAGAAACCGTCACAGAAAGAGGGCTTTCCAGCCTGGAATTAGAAAACCGTATGCTATATTGAATGCATTCAGCAGGATTCGGTTCTACTAAAAATAGGCACAAGCAAATGTATGTGCTATATACGTACTTGTGGCAGGCACTCTTTTCAGGGTAACTCCAAAAATATGGAAGGAAAATTTTGTTTTAAATGCAGTAGTCAGATTCTGCTGTGTGTTAATTGTTTCGTGCAAAATGGCAGGGTTTCAGTACTCAACTTTATTTTGAAAGAACTAACGTCAACACACAATATCTGGGTCAGATTTTCCCCTCACTTACCTTTGCACAGCTTCATTAACTTTTACTGAAGGAGCTACTCCCTGAAAAAGATGAGTTTCCTGTATTTACACATGGGACCAGATGTTGGCATTAGCACCCTTCTCAGTGGACTGCTACGATGTACATTGTTCATACTGAAAGTTAAACTTGAGAACACTACTACTACTTCTTCAAAGGACTGGACTCTCTAAATTGCTTTCCACATTCAAAGAAGCGAAATGCTTCTCCTTTCTTCTGCTGTTTTGCAAGTTTAATGTGTGCATCAGTCTGACCTGCTGCCTTAACAGGTTTTTTAGACTTCTTGAGATGGTTCCTGGGCTGGTAACATTTTATCATTGTTAGATTATATAGCTACCTTTATTTACTTGTTATTTCTTTTCAGAAATGCTGAAGTCCTCTCCTTTATTGCTACAGAATATACTGCTTAAGAAAGAGTTTGCTGTAACAAAAGAACATTACAAGGTGGAGGACACAGGCAGACAACATGAACATTACGATGGTTTTTTCAGCCTTGATTCTGCTCCTTTGGCACATGCACTGCAGCTTGGCCTTTTGTTAAATTATAATATAATTGCATCATCCCTGGCCAAAGGAAGAACATTTGATAAAGTGATTAGAGGAGGAAACAGAGAATTAAGATGTATCTGGAGTTAATTGACAATGTGGACTTGTGTGTTTGTTCATCTGTCAATCCATACTTTGCTAAGCTAATGAAATAAAATAACCCTGTTTTACCCAGAATGGGGTAAAAACAAAATGGGTATTTCTTTCTGGAGAAGAGAGTCCAAGGCTGGTGTTTTGGAGATGTTTTATTATTCCCAGTGCTATGTGTAGTCTTCTTCTGTAGCATTCCCGATGCTCCCTGACTGTCCATGTGCTGGTGGTGTGATGCTGGGCTCGGGCTCTGGGGTAGCTGTGTCCTTAGAAAGGGGGCTGTGAACTACAGAGGGTTACTGGGCATCCCATGTGTGAAGGTAAGCACAAGGTGTAGCTCTTTCCTGAGGTCCTAATCTAGTGGAGCTCTCCGGAGACACAAACTGCATGTGGGCATCGTCATTTTCAGTGTTAGCCTGGTTGAATCTTTGGTGTGGGATATGCTCTGGTCACCTGTGGAGCCACAGGGGCTGTAGCTGGATCATAACTGACCAAAGAGATGTAGGTACACAGACTCAACAAGAGATATTGCTCAGTTCACTCTTATGTGTGTGTGGACCCGGGATTTTAATTAACAGGGATATGCTTGTGTTGTAAGCCTTTCAGTGTGCTGTTCTCTCGTGTGATAAAATAGACTTGCTAGGGATGGTTTTATGCACCACCTATAAGTCTCACAGACTGTGTGCTGCCCCTGCTTTTCTTAAGATCTCCCTGAGTGAAGTGAGTAAAAAGAAAGTTGTTTCAAGACAGCTTATTGAGGATTGAATGAGCAAGATGAGATCCTGTTTAAATGAGAGTGTGGTGCATTTGTTTCCATTACTTTCTTAGATGCCTTCATGTCTGTCCTCCAGATCCTGCAGCAGGAATCCCCCAGGCTTACTATTGATGGACACCTATTATGGTGCTGTTGTAGCTGTTTTTCCTTAGGAGAAGATGAGGTCTAAATCTACTCCTATCTGGTATGTCTACCCTTGAGGTGAAGCCTTAAGATAATTAGTGAGTTGGCCAAAATGAGTTTTGTGTGTACTATTTCCCACTCTAAACTATTGTGTTGTTTGAAGCTTGGATCCAGGCTGTCCCTGCTGTAACAAGGGAGAGTGAACACAAACATGTAGCTCCCTTGGCCCAGTCCACGTGGCAGATGTGACCGTGGATTTTGGAGGATATAAACCTCAGGCACTGCTGGTCTCTGGAGCTCAGCCGTGGTTTCTGCCTGGGCTCAGTGGGAGCTCTGTGAACCAGAATGAGATGTGGCCTCAAGACTGGCTTTCATCTGTGCTTATCAGCTAGAACAGACATATCCTTTGTGCTTTTTGCTCAAATTAAGTGGATGAGGGGTTTTGTTTGCTATATCATTCTAAGTTACACAGAGCAAAACCAATTTGTGCTAAAGATATGCAGCCATGTTGGTGAGAACATTAAGAGCAAGGGATGTAAGAGAGATACAGGTTCAGGTAAATTATCGTATTTTGAGAATTACATGTTGTTTTGTGTTTGCATAGTTCCACTTGATCTGAAATGGTAGACGGGACTAGAATAATTGGTTATTTTATCTAATATACCATGAGTTATGTTCCTGTAAATGAATTATAACAGTCAAGCCAAATAAAATGTGATATGTGTTTGTGCCAATTGAACTTCTGAAGTAAATGATCTAAACTCAGTCAGGTTACATGTCACTTTGAGAAACTATCATAAGGCATGAATATAAATCAACTATATGTAAAAAGTAAAAGCAATTATTAAAAAGAGAAATTAAAACTCAGACAGTGGCATGCATATATTTGTTTCCCTTTAGTGTAATTGCCTAGACATGAAATGTCCTTGCAATACAGATTCTTATGCTGATTGAAGAGCCAAAAGGTAATTAAAGTAGAATTGAAAGTGTCAGAATAGCAGAAAATCATCTTGTAACAGGTGTCACTCCATCATTGTCACTAGTGGGAACTGGTAGTGTGATGGAGCAATTGAGGCTTGACTGAGGGGATTGGATTGAATCCAATTTCTTTATTGGTTTTTTGAAAAGAGGAAAAAAGAAGCTGTGTTTGTTGTGGAAAATACTGCTAAGGAAACATTCTTTCTGTACCAAGATCTCTTGGATAATTCCTATTAAGGGGAAAACAAGAAGTCTGGTCCTTTTCTTCCTGTTGATGTAAGGATAAATATTTTATATCTTGTCAGTTTTCTTCTGGAGTTGACAGTAGACTGGATAAAGGGGAGAGTTAATATTTACTTGGACTTGAGAAAACAAAAGAAGCTGTAGCCAAGAACTTTGGATGGAGAGGTACAAATGCAGAGAATAGGACCGATATTGACAGGACTCTGTGCCCTTTTCCTCCAAAGAGATCGTTGCATTCCACCATTGATCCATCAACTGAGAGCGCTTGGGACTTTTCCAACCTGTGGTCAGACTTTGGTGAGTGTCCCCAAAGCAGACAGTGGCAGTAGTTCCCAGGACAACAGTAGCTGTAACATTTGTGGAAGGAAGAATGCTGAGCATCAGGAATATGGAAAAAGGATC